CAAACAGAAGCCATATCTAGATACAAGGAACGGTTTTGGAAGGATTGAAGTGCTGAAGTGGAGATTTGGTGCATCTGTTATTCAAGAAATCCCAGGTTTGTAACTTTCACCATACACCTTAATTTAAGCATTGTTAAGTTAGATTGTTAGGTTAGAATGGTTAGAAATAGGTAGGAGATGGATTCTGGAGAATTTGAGAGCATTTGGTTAGGTTCAAGATGATGACACCATTTCAGTTTGGATCAAGAACTTGGTGTATAGTGAGTAATAATGTGAGTTCTATAGGGGAAACTGATCAGTGTAATGTGATGAACGTTTTAGACCAAGAAATTTCAAGATTAGAGACAATTGATTCTTGGTCAGAATTTTGATCCACAATCGTGTTTAGGGTTAGAGTGAATTTCAATTGAATCTAAGACCATGGTTGTGATCAGTGTGGAGTTTGGAGTATATTTGTGCTTTAAATCATGTGTTTCGATGGAGATATGGTGGAGTTCGAATTGAGAAGGATCCATGTTTGAACTCTGGTTCTTCCCTCCATTTCCATGGCTAGAGGTAGGAGATGAAGTTATCACCCTCAGATCTTGTTTTGACCCGTTGACTAGAAGCTGATCCAACGGCTGCGTTTTGAAGTTGATTTGTGAAGGATCTAAATGATGAAACTTACCGTTTCATTTATTCAGGCGTTTTGGGCTTAAGTGATGAATCACTATACACATCCCCTGAAGGCCCAACCCAGGATTTTAACTGAGTCTGATTGCTATTGACACCGCGCGCTTATTCATTTTAATTGGATTTTCTTTTTTTTTCATTTTATTCATGGTTTTTGTAAAAATCATAATTAATTGAAAATTTATCCAATTAAACCCATTCTTTTTGCATATTACTCATGATTGAGTCTGTTATTTTTTAGAGAAAAAATATTTTCATTTCATGTAATTTCTGATTTAATTGGAATTTTGCATTTTAATTGATATTAAAATGATTATGTTTGATGCATATTTTTGTGGAATTTGGTATGATCTCATGGTGATGATTTTAAGCCTAATTATTTGTGTGTGATTAGGTTAGACATGTATGATCCCATAGAATTTTTCTCACATTTTTTTGATGAAAATAGGTGTGCTTTCTAGATTGATGATTAGATGCCTCCTTTTTAGGGTTTTAGGTTTGATACCTTGTAATGTAGAATTTATTTCTAGGTCCAATTTGATGGTTTGATCTTTGAAACTATTGTGGTAGAGTCATGATTGACCTAGGTTACCATAGTAATTTTTGTAGGATTTTCTAATTGATTTTAGTATCTTAGTTAGGACTAACTTTAGTGCTAGGTTTTAGGTGACCCTAATTTACTAATTCAACTAGTTTAACTTCCCTAGTTCCCTTAGATTAGAGTTTGTGCTTGGTTTGCCTTTGGTTGAGATTGAAGACAAGTTGAAGACAAGGTGAGGATGCTTGAAGTTGCTTGAAGGTGCTTGGAGCTTTGGATTTGGTTGAGCCTGAAGGTGTCTGATGAAGATTAGGAGATAGGACATAGGGAGAGCCTTGTAGTTAGAATGATTTCTTTCACAAACATGGAAAGCATCTTGTGCTTCCATTCCTCCCAATGACTAAAAGTCCTTCTCAGATATTCACATCCCTCCTTTGGAAGGATGAGTGGCTTTATCTGGGAAGTAGAACTTTGAGGGAACCAGTCTCTCATAATGATGAACCCTTACAGGCTTCCTTTGGTTGTCAGTAAGCTGTTTATCATTTCCACTCATTCTGTTAAATCAATTATCTTCTGGTTTGAGTATCTTGAAAGATGTTGGACTTGAGTTTGGAGATGAGAACTTCATTGAAGAGTGTGGAAGAGGATAATCCCTTGAGCATTGCCATTGCAGCTGAAGCTTGAAGAGCAAGAAGAGCAGGTTGATACTTGAAGATCCAATAAAGACTGAATGAAGAGCTGAGGCTTAAAGAATTGAAGGATGAAGTTGACACTTCCAGATGAGTGAAGACTACTCTGAGCATTGCCATAGCAGCTGAAACTTATGGGTGAAGAAGACCAAGTTGAGACTGGTAAAGCAAAGAGAGCCGAAGCTTGAAGACTAAGTTGATGAAGAGGATTCAATGGAGATTGGGTGTAAAGCTGAAGCTGAGGAATAAAAGATAAGTTGATACTTACATTGATGCTTTGAGAACCTGAAGGAATCAAGTTGATACTTGCAGTTAAAAGTAAAGACTGAAGGTGGAATTGACTGGAAAGCTGAAGCTTGAAGAAGAAGATTAAGTTGAAATTTATGTTGAAGGGTGGAAACTTGGAGAAGAAAATTGATATTTGTCCTGAGAGAGGATAGCCTGGAAGGGTGGTTGAAGTCTGATGACTGGACTGCTGTCAAAGTTGATTTAGTTGTAGGAGCTGTTGATCTGTTTTCTTTTCTGTGTTGATGTGCCTTGTTTGACTTGCTTGATGCATTAGAATAAGTTCATATCTAGATTGACTTTAAGCTAGGAGCATGACTGCACTAGAGGTTGAGTGGCTCCCTCTGCTTGTATTTTTACTGTATGGCTTTGCTTGTGGGTATTCGGTAGAGCCAAGCTCCCTTGCCCATGTGGTTTATTTTGCTTGATAGCATTCCATTTTCTGCTGTATGATTACACTCTCTTATATTTTGCTTGACAGCATTTCATTTTATCTCTTCAGTATGGTTACTGTTATTCATATCTGGCTTGAGGTCGAGATGAGTTTGTGGAGGCTGTTTCCCCATACACATTTCCTCCCTCACTTGCATTGCATGCATTTTACAGTCGTTTACTGTTTACTGGTTACGCTGATGCTTTATCTGTTTCCGTGTATCATTGATATGATCCCTTAGGACTCTCATTTCCTTTGATAAGGAAGTGATGATTAGAACTTTAGGTTGAAACCTATGCATGATAACTTCTAGGAGTTCCCTGTTTCGAACCTCAACCATAGGATGAATCCTTAGCATGACAACAGTAGGACTTGATAGTCTCCCTTTAGTTGAGCTTGTTCTCTTCTCATCTCAAAACAACTTAAGATACAGTAATCATGAATGATTTCTTTCGTACGTTACGAGCCTTAAGCTATCTGAGCAAGGATTGTTGGAGAGCTTCTTTTCAACAGTCTGAATGTTTAGTATGGTACCCTTTGGGTGACATGCGACCCATTCACTCTCAGGTCATAGTCTTTAGTGCGATTGAAATTGCAAACACAATAAAAAACACTTCTTTCGTAAAAGACAGAAAACAAACTTCAAACCTTTTTGCCCCGTGGGCCCATAATTCAAAGAGAGCTTTTCTGAAGAAAAGAGTGTTGTTAAACTTCAGCGCCAACGCAAACAGGCTTTGTCCCTAACTGCTGGAACTGCTGTTTAACCCTACTCGATAAAACAGATGAATCTGAATTCCCGTAATCTGTAGTATCCCGAACTACGTAAGCTCTGATCTCTCATACCTGTTGAGAGTACGTAGGCACAATACTGATGTATTGGCGAGCCACCTTCCCCGTAACCCGTAGTTAGGCGAACTACGTTGACTCTGATTTCTCATTCTCTAATGAGAATACGTAGGCATAAAGCGCGACGCTTTGCCGAGTCATTTTTCTTTTCTGTTTAAGCCAACCTTGATAGGTAGATAGATAAACCAACTCATCCAGTAAACACAACAAGCGTGGATCCCGTCGAGTACGACGGACGTGAGGGGTGTTAATACCTTCCCCTTGCGTAACCGACTCCCGAACCCAGACAACGGTTGCGATGACCTTGTCTTACCCTTTTTCGTCAGGTTTTTCCGATCGTTTCCTTTCCCGTCCCGAGGGATAAATAACGAAAGGTGGCGACTCTTCTGTTTTGCCGGCACCTTATTTTCGCGGAAGCGACAAGTATACACGGTAATAAGACCAACTGCTATAAAAGTTTTACATTGTTTCCATGATTTTGTACTTTCCTTCAAAATCAAATCTTTAGTAACAAATGTACTCTATATATCCTTAAAACCAGACGAAACATGCCACAATAGACGAAACAAATTTGTTTGCTTTGAATGTTTAAAAATAGAAGAAACACGACAAAACCAGACGAAACACGAAAAAGCATTACAAAGACGAGTCACAGAGACATTTAACATTAAACTTCCAAAGCAGAAACATCATTTCTCAAATGAGCAATCTTTAGTAAAAAAAGTGCAACATTCATACAAAAACATGTAAATCTTGAGTAAATGCAGAGAGACTCGGACAAGTTGTATGACGAAACACTAAATGCGCAAGAAAACAAAACTGAAAAAACACGAATACACTACAAAAATGAACATGAAGCATTATCTGTTGCTTAGTACGAATACGATGGATATGGGAGAAGAAAATCAGGTTGGTCTTATAAACTGAAAGGGAAAGGTAGTAGGAAATGTACAAATAAGCATTACCTGTTTCTTAACATTACCCGGGTAATAGCTTGGGTTGAATTTGAGAGGGATTTCCAAATAGTAGTAGCTATTTGGCAGTTAGGCGGAATTCTCTTGGTCAAGTATTTATTATTTAGTAAATTACCATTAAGGGAATTTTTAGGTGTAAATTAATGTTTGATTAAAGGGTAAATTAAGGTGTTAATGTGCATGTTCCAATATTAGTTAGGTAGTTGAGCATTTCATGTGAAAAATAAATAAATAAATATTAGCGCATTAATATTCTCAACAACATAAAAGATAGTAAATGTCTCAAACTATTAAGGTGGATATGGTTTAATTCTTTAAGTGAATTTTTGTATGTCCTTTTCAACATTATGAAAATTTTTGTATGTCCACGTGTTTAGAGAGAAGTGAGACTCTCTCTCTAAACTTAACGTGTTCTTTCTCCCTTCCCTCTAGGGTTTTTTGGGTGACGGTGTTCCATCTCCAGGTTCTTATGGCGTTTCTCACCCTCGTGGTCCTTTCTCTTATCTGGTGGAAGTCTTTCTGAGTGAAATCTTTCTTTTGGTGTGGTACTTAGGATGGCAGGTATGTATAAATGGAGGAATATTCCTCTATCTAAGAAGGAAGAAGAAAGCGTAGTGGCAATCAGAGAGGAAGTTACTAGTGAGGAGATTTTCCAAAGGACGCTCGCAAGGAAGCTATGGACGGATAACAATTTCAATACTAGGGCTTTTATTAGCAATATGCTTAATGCTGGGAAACTTAAAAATTCGGTGAAGACTCAAGAGCTAAGCAATAATTTATTCTTATTTTGGTTTGCATCAAAAAGAGATCTCGAGTTCATGATGAGAAGTAGGCCATTGAGTTTCGATCAAAATCTTCTAGTGTTGGCTCGAATCTTAGGTGAAAAACAACCATCAGCATTCAACATGCATTTTGGTGTATTCTAGGTTCGTGTTTATGAATTGCCTCTTATGCTCAGATATGAGGTGATGGCAAAAAAGACTGGAGGTATCGTTGGAGTCTTTAAGGAAATGGATCAAAAAGAAGCTCACAGGACAGGACGATTCCTTCGCATCAAGGTGAATAGGGATCTAAAACAACCTTTGAAAAGGGGGACTGTTGTCATGTTTAAGAATAAAACGCTGCGTGTCCATTTCAAATATGAACGTCTTCCTACCTTTTGCTTTGTTTGTGGAAGAATAGGTCACTAATTAAAGGACTGTGAAGTGTTAGGAGACTTAAGTGAAGAAGGTTTCAAAGATATTAAAGAATAAGATCTGTCCTTTGGGTTATGGTTGCGTGCTTCTCCCTTGCCTAGAAGTTTGAAGGATCAACAAAGAAAATAATCTAGCTCTGGAACATGCAATAGACGTCTGTTCAATATCTCGTCGAGGAAAAGCAAATGCGAAGAGAAATGCAAGGAGAAAGAAAGGGAAACTGAAGTCGAGCATAACCTTTCTAATATGAAGCAAGTTGAGGTACTTAGGAAAGAAACTGTAGCTCCATATCCAGTTAATGCTCTTGAAATTGAATCGATGGCCGAATCTTTAAGGGCTATTGATATATCCAAAGGTGGAGGAAATGGAGGAACATCGAAGCAAAGTGCAGTTAAAAAGAGAAAGTGGACAAGGCGAAAATCTGTTAGGAAAGGGAATTTAAGGCAACAACATATTAATGAAGGAAAGATGGGGAAGAGACCACTTATTGATGTTCTAATTATGGAGGAATCTTTGGAAGATTATGGAGAAAAGAAAAGGAAAAAAAGTGGGGACGTGACTGTCGTTATTATCAAAGAACCAGAGGCAGTGTTATGGAGCCAACATTGCCTAAACAAATGAAGATTATTAGCTAGAATTGCAGAGGGTTGGGGAATCCCTGTGCAGTTCAAGCCTTGTTGAGGCTCCTCCGATTGGAAAATCCCACTATTGTGTTTCTGATGGAAACATGATTGAGAAGTGAAGAAATGCAGGTTGTTAAGTTGAACACAAGCTTTGATATGTGTGTTACGGTGGATTGCAATGGTAATGGAAGGGATAGGGGTGGAGGTGTTACGCTACTTTGGAAGGATAATTTCAATCTTTCCATTTGTTATGATTCTTGTAATTATATTAGTGGTTCTGTGAGAGAAGAATATAATGATCAATAATGGTTTTTTAGTGGTGTTTATGGCTTTCCATATGAACAGAACAAGAGGAAGACGTGGAGACTTGTCAAGGAGCCTTGTGTGTCGGGGATAGAAAGAAAAAGAGGGTTCATGTGTTCAGATATGAGGAAGTTTGGACAAGGGATGTAAGATGTGAAAAAGCTATAACTCAGATATGGAACGGGGGCCACCTGGAGTGCTACGACAAGATTCAGGCTATGCAGAAACTGGGAGAAGTTTTCAGAGAGTTCAAAATAGGCACGATTAGGAAAGAAATAAAATGGATTGAGGATAAATTGAATGATGCGGCTAGCTGGTATGGGGGAAAGGATGAATTGGAGGTATACAGAGCACTTGAGAGGCCAAGAAATATTCTTCTGCAGGTGGAGGAAACAATGTGAATTCAACAAAGTAGGGCGGTTTGGCTCAAGCAAGGTGACCGTAATACCAATTTCTTCCATGATAAAGCGAGCCAAAGAAGGAGCATGAATGCAACAAAGAAACTTTTGGATGACACGGGGTGCTGGTGGAAAGGTGATCAACATTGTGAGAGGATTTTGGTCAATTACTTCTCCGATATTGTCTTTACTTCTCCATTAAGCAATGTTTCTGAGGTCTTCTATGTGGTGAGGGGTAAGCACAACCCAAGTCTTATTAGCTCTTGTTCTTATATGTTTTTGGCTCTTGAAGTTCATGAGGCAATATCCCAAATGCCACCCCTTAAGGTCCCCGACCCTGATGGTCTTCCTGTCCACTTTTATTAGAGGTTTTGGCACGTGGTTGGTTCAAATGTTTGTAGGTTGGTGCTGGATATCTTAAAAGAGGGTAAAGATTCTAGTGCAATTAACAACACGTTCATCACTCTCATCCCCAAGTGCAAGAATCCAAAAACCCCAAAATATTTTTGACGTATTAGCCTTTGCAATGTGATCATGAAGTTAGTGACCAAGACTGTTGCCAATAGACTCAAAAGGATCCTTCCCGAGGAGATTGACGAAGATCAAAGTGCTTTTGTTTAGGGAAGGTTGATTACGGACAACACACTCATTGCTATGGAATGTTTTCACTAGATGAAAAAGAAAAAGAAAAAAAAAGGAGTTATGGCTCTCAAGTTGGATATGTCTAAAACTTATGATAGGTTGGAGTGGGATTTCGTGATTGGAACTTTGATTGTAATGGGATTCCCTGAGGCTTTTTTTCCTTAATATATCGTTTCATTTCCACCATTTCTTATCAAATTCTGATTAATGGGTAGCCAAGCAAGTCCTTTATCCCGGAGAGGGGTCTCCGCCAAGGGGACCCTCTTTCCCCCTATTTATTTATCCTCTGTGTTGAAATTTTTTCAGATTTGTTAAAGAGAGCGTGCAAAGACAAGGTGCTCTGAGGGGTCTAAATTTCTAGGAAGGCTTCAACCATCACTCACCTCTTATTTGCTGATGATAGCCTTTTGTTTGTTCGCGTTAGTGATTCTTAAGCCACTCAAGTCATGAATATTCTAAAGGTTTACCAACAAGCCTCGGAACAAGTTGTTAACTTGGACAAGTCAGAAGCGTCCTTTATTCAAACTGTGTGCGAAGTCAAAATTCTGATCTGTAATAGGATGCAAGTAAAGACTGTGACGTGTCATGCCAAGTACTTAGGCCTCCCAGTTACCTTTGGTAGATCTAAGAAGAATATTTTTGGCTTGGTGCTTGATAGAGTTTGTAAGAATATTAAAGGTTGGAAAGAGAAGGTTTTGTCCAGATTGGGGAAGGAGGTTCTTATACAAGTTGTTGCTCAATCTATTTCAAATTATATCATGAGTTGTTATAGATTCCCGAAGGGTATTTACAAGGAAATTGAAGGCATGCTGACCAAGTTTTGGTGGGGGTTCTAAAAACGGGGAGCGTAAGGTCCACTGGATTAGTTGGGAGAAAATGGCATGTTCAAAAGGTGCTGTTGGCATGAGTTTCTGGGGCATAAGAAATTTCATCACTAGTCTCCTTGGGAGGCAGTTTTGGAGGTTGCTGACTGATGATGATTCTCTCTTGGCTAAAGTGATCAAAAGTCATTACTTTCCTAAGTGTCATGTGTTGGATGCTCATTCTAGCTTTAATCCAAGTTATGCTTAGAGAAGTATCTTAAGTGCTAGAGATTATGTTTTCTATGAAGCTAGGTGGTGGATTGAAAATGGGGCAAAAGTCCGTATGTGGAAAGACAAGTGGATTCTAGGTGCCTTTGGTTGTAAACCTCAAAGCTCTATTCATGTCTTGGATAGAAATTCTAAGGTAAGGGATCTGATTGATCCTGAACAATGTTGTTGGAATTCTGACCTTGTTAATCCGTGTTTTGATCCCATGGAGGCCAATCTGATTCTCAGTATCCCTATCTATTTACATGGTTCTGCTGATGAGATTATTTGACCAACTTATCACTCTCTCCATCACGATATGATTAGCAAGAAGCTGGGACCGTCCAACATCTCCTATCAATCTGTTTGGAAGAAACTCTAGCATGCGCATCTGCACCCTTGTGTCAAGATTTTTTTATGGCGTCTGGGGAAAAAAATCATCTGTAGCACCCAAAAATTTTCCCTTTTGTAACTGACTTATGTGTTGTTCTTTTTTTTTTTTCCATTATTATTGTGCATAACATGGAATTGGTTCTTGGGACATGGGATCAAGTTGTTTCTATGGCTCAGGGTTTCTTTCATTACAAGTTTTTAAGTAGCAAGCATCAGATGCTTCAGCAGTTATTTTGTTTAGCAATCGGATACCAGATTATATTTTTCAGCATGTTATTTCGAGCAGAGGAGAAAATTCACAGTGTATTTCAGGCATTATACAAGTGCGATATCAAATGACAAGTTTCAACGGTAGAACAAAGCTCAGAACAAGTGGTTAAGGATGATTCTCCAAGTTTCCCTCCTTATGGCGCCAAAAATTTGAAATTTTGAATGTGGTAATTGATTACCACAATCAGGGTAATCGATTACCTCAAACGAAGTTTTCCTAATTTGTTCATTTTTTAGCATTGCAGCAATTTGGATTGTATTTTTCATCATGTGATTTCCATGTGCATCAGTAGAAGGATCTAGAATTGGTTTAAACTAGATTCATTTCACAAATTAATTCAAATTCCCTCCAATTTTCAAACATTTTTGTTCCTAATTCCACTCCTAACTTCTATTCCTCACACTAACCCACACTCCAAACCATATTTTAATTCTTAACCTAGGGACTATTTAAACAAATTCACTCCAAACCTCTCATAACTCTCACTCATTTTCTGAATTTTCTACATCTCTCATCTCAATTCTCTCAACTTTTCTCTCATTCCAAAACCCTCACAAAAGCTCCATAGCGAAAAGCTTCACAAATTGCACATTGAAATTTTTGAATTCTTTAGCTAAACCTCCATTGCATCAACATCCTTGGTTTAAATCTGGTGTGGAAGTTCATTTGGATCTTGAATTAAGTTTTTGGAACCACTTTTGGAAGAGCTTTTGCTTATTTGTGGATTATTGCTTGGATCTTCAAGTTTTCTTGCTAGAGCTTTATAGATCCTTGGATTCCTTACTTAGATCTTTTAATTGCAGCTTAACAACACTCACAAAAGCAAATCTTAGATTTGTAGGTTGGTAAATCCTAGATCTAATTCTGGTTTTGCTCAATCTTGCATTTCACAATGTAGATCTTTGGTTTCTTGGTGATCTTTGATCTATTGCTTGCTTTAATCTTTGATCTTGTTGTTTGATTGATGCAATTGGTGTTTGATTGCTTTGATTTGACATGATCTTCGTGCATAATTTATTGCTTGTTCATT